TTTTTTTTTTTTTTTTTTTTTTTTTTTTTTTTGTGTTAGATATGCAATTTTCATGTGCTACATTTAATTTCTTGTGTTAGATATGCAATATTCTGAATTTTCGAATTTTATGCTACTTAAATATGATCTTTGTTAAATTTTGATTATAGTGTTAGAAATGATTTTTTGCTAATTTTTTATTTTATTCTACTTGAGTATGATTTTTGCTCTTTGAAAATTGTTGGATAAACTTTTTGCTTGAAAAGTGCTAGATAGACTTCTTACTTGCTCAGTATACCAAATGCTAATCCTTTTTGATGAGAAAAATTATATTGTAATTTTCAGTTGATGACATACAATTTTTTTGATTTTTTGGATTATTTACGATGTTGAATTATGTTGGACTTGGACTTGGGGGTGAAAGCGGGGACAAGAATTATAAATTTACCCGCAGACGGAAATATTGAAGAAAACTATACTCATTAATGGAGATGGACGCAATTTTTTGTAAACGGGTATGAAAATGGAGACTACACCCTCCACCCCGCTTCGACCCATTGTCATCCCTAGCTTTTAGGTTCTACTCACAAACAAAGACTCCATATTCTATCTCAGGCCAAATGCTTAACCATAAAAGTTTAAACCTCAAAACAAAAACAAAAGCTCTCATTATATTATAAACTCAAAAACAAAAATTCCCCAACACAAACACACACACACACACACACATATATATATATATATATATATAATAAAGCAGAAGTGTGTTTGAATTTTATCTCAGTCATATTTTTCCTCTCAAAACTATCACTAATTACTTATCTCACCCATCATCCTTTTGTCAGACTCAAACGTCAAATCATATTACTCATTTTTATCACATATTTAATTATTTATATATTTCCTCCCTAAAAATATTATATCAGTTATTTCTATCATATATTTAATCATTTAATATTTGATTAATTTATAATTAATATATTTTGAAAAAAATTAATATAATAGAATCAATTTTGTAGACGCTCAAATTTTATATTTTATCGTGCCTTCAGACACGGGTTAAGACTAGTATATATATATAATCCTAATTAAGATTGATTATGACAATTAAATGGAGTAGTTACACTATCCATGAAAAAGAATATGTTAGAAAGATTGAAGTACAAAAAGTTAATTAGTGATTTAACATTTGAAATATCAAGTAGAACAATCTATAATAATAAAATTTACATTAGTATTAGAGATTTAAAAAAGCATATTTAATGTTTTGCTTTATGCCTCACATTATCTCGAGATAATGTATGGTACCAGGGCCATAACCAACAAACCCAAAACCTCAAGGAGAAATAGAGTTAGGGATGTGCAATCTCTCTGTTATTTATTTTTGTGTATGGAAAAAGAGGAGGTAGAAAAAGCAGAGACTAGGGTTGCAGGGCCGAGGGTTTTTCCCATGGGGAAGGGTGATGTGTGTGTGTGTCAGGGCGGGGAGGTGGGGGTGG